AAAAAAATAGTCCGATCTGTGACTCAAAAAAAAGAAATATATATAATGCATTGAACCAGTATAATGCTATTATAATACTATATAATAGCCTTATATATAGGCTTTATATATCCTCCCCCCCCTCCAGCCAGTCCACGAGAATATTTTCCAAACGTAACCATTCCGTGGTGTAAAAAAGGTTGGAGACCCCTGTTTTATGGCACCAAACCAGCGTATTGTCTGGAGACTGGAGTAACTTTGCCATCATAGTAATAAATTAAATGTTCAAATATATTAAAATAGTTAGTTTAAATTGTAATAGTATTTCATCTTAATTCTTTTTACTCTATTTTTTAAACAAATAAATACAGCTATGAGGAGCATAAAAGACTTCTTTCAAAAGAAAAAAATCTTTCAAACCCCAAGCTTTTAAACAATAGTGTAGATGGTGAAATCAACTACTATATCAAGTATGCGAGTGTGCAGATCATGAAATACAAAGATCTTGCGACCACCTTAATCTCCATTCGAGCTCGGTGAGGAAACAGCTGACCAATCATGGAGAAGTCTGTCCCCACCATGCTGATGGCCAAGTAAAACATTTCAGTCTCTGGAATAAAAAAAAAAGAGGATCCTACATAAATTAAATATACAACACATTTTAGATTAAGAAGTGCGTTTTGACGGACTTCTGACCTCCACTGGACCAGGGTTTGGTGTAGGTGCCCTTCCTAAAGCTGGAGTAGGTGGTGGTAGAGCCACGTTCAAATATGGGATCTCTGTCTTCTGCCGGATTGGGTCCTTTTGTCTTTGACACCTGGACTGTTAAACTACACACACCCGCACAACAAAATAAAATGCTGTTCACCTTCATTTCTATTAAACGATTTCTAGGTTCTGGATTACATTTCTCTATGATCAGCAGCTCAGTGGGATAAAAGCGCCACTGACCTCTCCTCATCTATAATCAGAGAACCATCCTCCGCCACCTTCACCCTGGGCACTAGAAGAGGCTCTTCCTTCTCCAGCTGAGATTCTTCTATTCTTTCCTCGTCTTCTTCATGACCATCATCTTCTACAACCATCTCCTGAACTGATGGAGCAGCTGGAGTCTTAGAAGGACTGAAGAGAAAAATCATAATTCTAAATCATAACCGAGAAAACACTTTGTTCTATTCATAGTTGCATCAAGGTGACAGACAGAGTGATCAGGCTTACGCTGGTGTAGAAGAGTCATCTAATACTGTCTCTGAAGCTATCTGCTCCTCTTCTGTGAAAGACCTGTACAGAAAAACAAGTCAGGGTTTGATATAAATCAATACACAGAAGATACTGTCATTAGAGGTTTGTCGTAATCGCTGCACAGCATCGCAAATCCAATATCAGCACTTCCATTTCTATGCACTTCTAAAACACACAGGGGGATTAAGAATGGCACATACTTCATTGGGTTGGATACAGGGAGGTAATAGATCAGCTCTCTCATGGTCATTTTGGCGTGGTCTTTGGGTGCCTTGCATTCTCTGATTCCCATCTTGGGTTTCTTCTTGTCTTCCTAGATGTAAGAGGCAATGGAGAGGTCAGGGTATAGCATATTAAAAGCACTGAAATAATTCCCCTATTAAGCACTGATTAAACTGCGATTCAATGAAAATCCTATTTAGCCTGGGACTAAACCTAATCTATACCAAGAATAGGGTTCACATATAAAATATGTATATATATAACATTAAATATGTACATACAAGTTACAACATGAGCAAACTTTGCACAACCTGCATAAAACCATTATATAAATATGCAACAAAGTGTTCAACTTCATAAATGTGATTTCATATATTTCATTAAAATGTACACTACTATTAAAAAAGTTTTTTTTTTTTACTTTATACTTTTATTTAGCATTAAATTGCTCAAAAATGACAGTAGTGAACTTTGCAATGTTACTAAAACTTATTTTTCAAATAAATGCTGTTCTAAATTCTGTTTGAATTTTCTATTAATTAAATCCTGGAAAACTCTATCATGGCTTCCACAAAAATATTAAGCGAACTGTTTCCAACACTGATAATAATAAGAAATGAAGGATCATGTGACACTGAAGTCTAGAGTTATGGCTGCTGAAAATTCAGCTTTACCATCACAGGAATAAATTACATTTTAAAATATATTAAAACAGAAAACAGTTATTTTAAATTGTAAAAATATTTTACAATATTACTGTATTTTTGATCACATAAATGAAGCCTTGGTGAACATAAGAGACTCTGTTCCACTCTTTAAAAAACATTTTAAAAATCTTACCAACCTGAAACTTAACATGTCTTTATCCAAACATCCAAACATAGATTTGTATTGCTTAATCTTTACCCAGATTTTAGAGTATGGTTTAAATATTTGGAACTAGTTGCCAGTGTTCGTTTGGACCAAAATATAGTTCTTTTGATATTTAAATAAAAAATTAAAACACACCTAAATACTGAGATACAAATCCAGAACCACCGTTTTTCTTTACACAACAGACAAAACACTAATATAAAACACATACACACCTTTTGTTTTTTCATTTCTTTTTTAAGAAGCTCCCGAAGTTTCCTTGCCTGAGCTAACCTGACCATGTCTGCTGGGTCGTTCAGAGATTTCAAGGAATTGACTAGCTTCGATGGTGACTTAAGTTTCTTAAGTCTTTCTCTTAACAGATCCATTTGGCTTTGGCCTGGAGGAGGCCCAGAATCACTCTCCTGTAGTACAGCCACGCCTTCCACAGCAGGACGAGCCAGAGGGTTTTCATGAACCAAAACAGTCTCAGGTTGGGAAGTTATAAGGGGCTGTTGGGACTCCCTTTGCTGGACAGTCAGCGGCACAAGAGTGTCCTCCAATCCCCCATCCTTCTGCGTCTCTGTCTCTTGGTCATTCTGCAGTGGGGCTGCAGGGATGGGCTGAACTTTGGCCTGTCTGCCTCCTCCAGAAGGTCTCCGTCTTCCAGGAAGTCTGGGGTTGCT